TCCACCCATCACACATTTTGGAGGCTCAAGGGCAGACCTCAACATTGTGTGTGTGTCTCTTCCTACTCATTGTGTGTGTCTTTTCCTACTTCATTGTGCAGACTCCAAGTCTGACAAGGAAAATGAGCCGTGCTCATCACAAGGGGAGACAACATCTGCTTCATGATGGAGTCTATTGTCAAGGCTCTCTTGATAACAAAAAGAGGAAAAGATCTATCAAAGCATTTCCTGCTTGCAGGAGCCATGCGCTTCCATTAATTCTTTTCCCTGAGTCTGTCTGTCTCCCTCAAACTAATGTTTCTCAATGTAAGCTATTCCAGAGAATAGAACAGACATTTTTGGCAGTTAATATTATACCCTTTCAAATAGTTTATAATGAGAACTATTGGAAATGTGCAGTGACATGTATTTTTATATTTAATATGGGACAAAGAATGTGGTTAAGGAAGTAATGATGTTTGTAATGCTGAAACAAGAAGGAAAATAGGAATTTTCTGCCTTCAGGTCACAACCAGATAAACAAAACTATGTCAAGAACAACAAAATCAGACTTTATCAGAAAACACAGTTCACAATGTTCATAGAATTTGTTCTACTAATCATTTTAAACTGTCCATGTGTAAAAAATAAATAACAAACTGCTTAGTGGCAGAAATGCACCATGTCAGAATTCTTTTCCGAGATAGCTTCCAATCTGAACCCTCTCTATGTTTCAGTTAGTTAATGCTAATGGACTTTCATTGACTGATATTAATTAATATGCCAGTCAAAAACCTTATATTTATGTCAGTATGTATGCTCACATTCAATAAATATTAAGTACTTACTGATGTTATGCTTAGTGATGCTGAGCATTGTAATACTCAGCTATGAACAAGATAACATTCCTTTTTCTCAAGGATCTTACATGGATTTATTCTATAAATAGTAAATTCTAATATATATATTTACCACAATTAAGAGAAATATGCAAGGAAGGATTATAAACTGACTTGTGCTCCCTCTAAATTCTTGTTAATGTTCAAACACTCAATCTTGGAATAGATTTGAAGATAATAGTTGAATAAGTGAAAATGAGGTTTGAAGGTAGACTTGATTCTAATATGACTGGCACTTTTATAAGAGGCAGAGATAGACAGATGGAAAAAAGACAGCAGTCTATAAGTTGAGTAAACCTCAGAGAAAACTAATCCTGCTTAATTAACCCTGGTTAATAACATTGATTATTTTATTAACTAAATAAAACTATAAAATGTAATGAAGCCTATGTTTAGTGTGTACAGAGTATTATTTATATGCATACTATATGTGTCAATATTTTATACATTTTCAAAACATAAATTGCACAATTTAATATGATTGATATTTACCACCAAGAAATATTCGACTGTAGCTAGAATCTGGAAAAAACCTGAGTGCCCGAGAACAGATGAGTGGTTAAAAAAACTTTGGTACATCTACACAATAGAGTACTATGTAGCTGTTAGAAAGGATGAAGTCATGATTTATACATACAAGTGATACTACATGGAAAGTATCATGCTAAGAGAAATGAGTCAAAAAGAGAGGGACAGACATAGAAAGATTGCGTTCATCTGGGGAACATAAAGTAAGAAAATAGGAGACTAACACCCAAGAATAGCTGAGATAAGTGCCAGGAGGTTTATTCCATGGCTTGAAGGCTAGACGCACATGCTAGGGGAAAAGGCAGCTCAGATAGAGAAGGGAGCACCAAATAAAGGGTGTTGGGAAGATCTTCCCAGGATGGGAGATGCATGCTGAAATTAGACTATAGACTGAACATGATTGCTACCCAATTCCTCTTTTGCAAACCAAGCACCCAAAAGGAGAGAGAGAACAAAAGGGAATGCCCTGCCGCAGAGGCAAGGTGGGATGGGGGCATGGGGGGTGGGAGGGATACTGGGATTAGTGGTGGTGGAAAATGGGCACTGGTGGAGGGATGGGCACTCGATCATTGTATAACTGAAACCCAAGCACAAAAATTTGTAAGTTACAACTGTACGTCATGGTGTTTTACTAATAAAAATAAAAAATAAATAAATAAAAGATAAAACAGAAGATAAAAAAGAAATATTTGACTGTTCTTATGTTATGGATTTTTTAAAAAGAACTTTTTTAACATGGTCTAATTAGGTTTATTTTTATCTTCCATTATAGTAAAAATGTCATGAAATTAAAGATCAACATTATAACATCACTTTACTTCACATCTTAGTCTCTGCAACTGGAGAAATCATGGAGCTGAGAGATAGGACAGCACTTGCCTTGTGTATAGCTGACCCAGGTTCAACTCTTGGCACCACATAAGGTTCCCTGAGTCTCATCAGGAGTGGACCCTTGGCTAAGATGCTGACATAGACCCTGAGCACAGCAGGGTGTGGCCCTAAGACAAGTTGAACAAGCAAACAAATGAAAAACAAAGGGAAGGATAGTCCTTTTGTATAATAATCCACTGCAACAGATTTTATCCTTCAAACTGTTGGGCATCACTAACACGTGTACTTGCTTTTCAATTTGTTTCCCTAGTAGGATCTTAAAATCATAAGTATTGATAAAATATTTCAAGAAAACTGAGTTCAAATGATTAAAAGTTGTTTGTTAACATGAATCAGATAAGATGCATGTAACATTTTGTTAAAAATAACAGAGGCAGGGCCCAAGCAATGGTACAGCCCGTAGGGCATTTACTGACACAGGTTAATTCTATGTACCCCAAGATTGTTCCCCAAATCTGTCAAGAGTGCTCCCTGAGAGCAGAGTCAGGATTAAGGCCTGAATACTGCTGGGTGAGGCCTCAGAAAAACAAATAGAGAAAGAATTGTAAACTTGCGTACAAAATTTAACCTTTGAAAATTTAAAATTCTACAAAATTTCTGTTCAGTATCCGAGATAAACTTATACTCTGAATCTAAAGTAATTTAAATGTTTTCACTGGAGACAAGGAGTATAATTTATAACCTAGAAAACTAAATTACTAATTTTTTTTTTAGTTTATCAATCTGGAGCGATAGCACAGTGGGTAGGGCGTTTGCCTTGCACGCGGCCAACATGGCCAACCCGAGTTCGATTCCTCCGCCCCTCTCGGAGAGCCCGGCAAGCTACCGAGAGTATTCGATATGCCAGACACAGTAACAACAAAGTCTCCAATGGAGACGTTACTGGGCCCGCTCAAGCAAATCGACGATCAACGGGAGGGCCTTTACCTTTACCTTTACCTTTACCAATATCATTTAGAGATTTCAACCAAGACAGAGGAAAATATGTCACTCATGACATGCATGTTGAGGTAGGCGGTTTAACCTATACGTGAAGAGAGAAGACTTTAAGTGAATGTACCAAGCAAGCCCATTTATCAAGAGGATTCTGAATCTGATAGAAAAAGAACATTAAAACAATTATTCATTTAGATAATCCATCACTATCACTGTCACTGTCCTCTCGTTCATCGATTTTCTCGAGCGGGCCTGGTAACATTGTGAGACTTGTTACTGTGTTTGGCATATTGAATACTTCATGGGTAGTTTGCCAGAATTTGATATTACAATCTCTTATTTGTCAAAACTCTACCTTTTTATGTTTGTAACTTATTTCATCTCATGAACATCCTACACACACACACACACACACACACGCACAAATGTGCAGACACAATTCTGCTTTTCAATCTGTGCTCTCAGATAATGAATTTCATTTGGGGGTTGGGATTTAAGTGGGAGTGGAAAATGAGGTTTCATATATGTGAATCACACACTCTACCACTAAACTATATGCTTGTTTGCCCCTTAATAATCCCTTTCTAATGGGACAATTTTGCTATGTTCACTAAGCAAATCAACTAACATTTGAAAATAAATGCTACCATTTAATTTACTTTAAAAATGTTATGTAGGACCAGGAAAATAATTCAAAGGGCTGGAGTGCATGCTTTGCACATTTGAGCTATGGGTTTAATTCCAAGCCCTGCAAAGACACCCCCACCACCGGCCCTTAATTCGGATGTCCCTGAGCACTGAGTCAGGTGTGACCCCCCAAAAAATTAAATTAAAAATGTGACTTAGAATTCTAACTTGTAATTCTCTGAAAAGATTTTAAAGCATTTACTTATTTGGCCTGTTTCAAAGCCTTTTAGATACTTTTGAAATACTCAATTCTGGGTTTTTTTTGTTTGTTTGTTTGTTTTGTTTTGGAGCTGCACCCAGCTCAGGATTCATTCCTGCTGTGTCCTACTTGTGATTGTGTTCAGGGATCACTCCTGGCAGTGATTGGGAGACCATTTGCAATATGAGGGATCAAATCCAGGTCCACTGCCCAGCAATTATATGCTCAAGCCCCAATTTCTGGGGATTAAAAAAATTGTTTTTAATTAGGAAAATTAAACAGATGCATCAGTATACATCTTCATAGAAATGAGTTATTATAGTTTTATGAGTAAATAAGTATGTGATTTCAGTAGTTGTTTGAATTACATAAACATTGTTAGAACACAGAATCTTGATCATAATTCTGAATCAGCTTCTAAGTCTATTGTTCCAGAAGAAACAAAGTATATTTATATAGTTAATATAGTCATAGAAGAAAAAAATATTTTTAAAGCGGGGGCAACAAAAAATGTTCAAAAATATGGAGCAAAAGACTTACTCTCAGTGAATAAACTATATGTGTGAGTAAACATATACATTTATATGTCTAAATTTCATAGTTGAGACAGGGAATTTTCCTAGTTATTTACTATGAGTTCATTTGGTAAAAACTGTAAATTAACATCACATTACTCTAAAATTACCTTTTATTCTTAAAGTAACTTCTTAGAAAAGTTAACAATACTTTATAAAAGTTTACACTTTTATAAACCCCAAGTTATAGTTTTTTCCTTTGAGATTAATCATCACAGGCCAAGTAAAACTAACTGTATAATAATTTATTATGCTTGCATACCACTTATCATGTATATTAAATTATAGAAAAAAAAACAAAGCATCTTTATAAGCTATTTAGTGTATTTTATTACTTCTAATGCTTTCACGGTAACCGAGAGAGATAATTTGACATATTTTAGCATTAGTTAGAAAAATTTAAAAATTATAGCTTTCTTTTCACAGTACACAGTACGTCAGATATATATGGACATATATATGTGGTCTCATTCAGTTTTACTGAGCTGAAGTTATTGCAGTTCCACAGATTTGCACTTATTCCTATATGCACTTTTCCAGGTGCTATCATAAGTGAAAATAAATAATTTCTGATTCCTAAAAATCTCTACCAATAAACAACATTAAAGTTTGGCAACATTTTGAACATTCAAATAAAAAAAAATTCAGTAAACAATTTAAGCATGGTATCTTCTTTCTCTGTACTCCACCCTCTCTCTACTCACTACACAGTGGAGTTAAAAACAGAGCACAAAAATTCAGGTTGAACTTCAGTCCAAAGGGTCTCCAAGTCTCCTCCAGCCATTTGTCACCTTCAGCTGCATTTCTATCTGTCCAAACTCCTCCTGACAGCAGCATTAGTCCTTTCCCACAGGAAAAAAATTTCAGATCCTTGCAGAAAGCATTTTGTTCTCCTCTGTCCAGCCCAGGCTCGAGATTGATGGGAGTTTCTGCAGCCGGTTTGTTCCATTCCTTCACAGCCCCAAGAAGTAAGGAGTCCTGTCGGAAGGGAAACTTGCAAGGCTATAACAAATTGCTGGCCTGCGCCAAGAGTCTCAGAAACTCACGTGCCCTTTACATGCTCCTTCTGGGAAAATAGTCTTATCCATCGTCCTGTCTTCAATGGACTTTGATAGAATATTTCCGCAGTTTGAGAAACTGGAAAAGTTTGTCTCTTCTCCTTTTTTTCAGGGCCATCAGGGCTCGCGTTTTCTCTTCCAAGTCTTGATCAATGGAAAAGATGATCTTGGCTCTTTCCTCTGCTTTCTTGTCGCCAGAGTTTTTAAAGAGTCTCTGGAGGGACTCCTGGTCGGTGCTTTCAAAGATGTTGCCCACCGCTTTCTTCCTGGCGGCCGTGTCGAAGCAGTAGCCGCGGATGGACGGGCTCACGCGCAGCGAAGTGGACATGGTGGTCACCTGCTGGCCTCTCCACTTTGCTTTCATGGATTTGGGATCTTCCTGGAGTCCAGTTCCTGGGGCTGGGAATCTGTGGCCAAACTTTCCCGGCAGGCTATTTAAACTCTGCAGGACCTCTCCGGGTTCAAATTACACTGGTGACATCAGCGATCTCACAGGAGATTAGTCTCAGACAGATTAACAGTTGCAGTGCCAGCTCCCTCTTCCAGTCCCAAGAGTTTCTGGAAACTGTGTTCATTGGAGGGGCGGGAATATGCTTTGGGCCTAATCCCCTCGTTGGACCACAGTCTTATACTGACCTCAATCTTTCTCACAAAATAACAAACCTAGAAACTGCAAAAATAAAACACAGATAATGTGGCTCAAACTCAAAACCCTTTCCAAACAACAGCAGAACAAAGCCTTCCGAGAAACACTGGGAGGTTTTAATTTCTAGAGATATTTTTAAAAGTGCACTCTAAACACTTGACAATCCACATCAGAATCTTGGTCATGTCAGAACAATTTCGGAGTTGTTGAGAAAAGAGTTTAGAAATCAAGAGTGTCAATTTATGGGTTAGAGTTTGTCTAATTTATAGACTGGGGATTTACCCTCAGAAAGTTGACATGGCACAGAATGAAGCTCTGATCTTTTAGAGACTATGGCAAGTTTCATAGGCACCCACCGAATTAACTTTAATATAATTTAAATAGTCTGAGATCAATGATTAATACATAATTAAAACATTTCACTAAAATATGAGTTAAAAACTAATATGATTATGATAATTAATGGTTTCGTTTCATATTAGTAACATATCATGTATACATAAAGCAATAGCTATCAAAATATCGAGGTATTAAAATTAATTAGGTGCTCTAAATACACAGAACACAAAACAAAAGATTTTTTCTATAAAATTTACTGATTGTGAGCTTAATGTAGTATACAGAAATATAAATTTTCTATGATTTATGCCTGAAAAATATGTAATAATGGACAATCACTTCAATAAAAAGTTATTTTGTTGACATTGTCCAGAAATAGAACAATACATGGTTCGGAAGAAGTTGAATTTTTTTCTTTCTGCCTTCTTCAGTATCCGACCAGCTAGTGTGCAGACCTATGATTGGAGCAGTTGCATCCAACTAGATGTATATCGCTCTTAAATGCTCTCTGAGATTTTTTCTTCATGGATTTTAGGTCTGTATGTTTTCTAAGGGTCCAAGAAATAGGATTTTGTCTTTACTGTTCTCTTACCTAGTAAAGCCAGACCTAGAAAACGCTCAAAAGATTCAGAATGTGAGAAAGGTACTTCTTTAGAAAATTGTGTTTCAGTCTTCTTACATACTTATTTAATCACATGTATAAAAGGTCTGATTCAGCTGGAGCATCTCAAGGCTTATATTGTGTATGTGTTTATATGCTAAACTAAGTGTAATAACTAGAGAACAATTTGCATTCACAATAAAGATGTCAGAAGGTAATACATGTAGACAAAATGCAGCAAAGTCATCACTGTATCCCTGTCATCCCGTTTTTCATCTATTTCCTCTAGCAGGCACCAGTAATGTCTCCTTCGTTCTAGCCTTGAGATTTTAGAAAGTGCAACATTCGAGGCTCTTCCAGGGTCAGGAGAATGAGACCCATTATCGTTACTGGTTTTTGGCATTTTGAATACACCACGAGGAGTTTGCTAGACTCTGCTGTGCTGTCAGGACACTTTCACAAACCTGCCAGGTTCTCCAGAGTAAAGGTAAAGGTAAAGGCCCTCCCGTTGATCGTCGATTTGCTCGAGCGGGCCCAGTAACGTCTCCATTGGAGACTTTGTTGTTACTGTGTCTTACTCCAGAGTAAGAACTAGATAATAAGATGTCTCTGCCACGCGCTTCCAGGAGCTAGGTTTTATAGAACCTGGGTCTTGGTCATTGAAGGGATTACATGGCACTGGGGGCAGTTGGTGGGTGTAATGCCTACATACTGGAAGATGGGGAATCTGGGTGGAGGAGCCCCAGTCCCAATCTGAGTAGGCTTGGAGAACTAAGCCCCGGGTCCCACACACCTGGGTTACTCTGCCATTTCCTTCATGCATGAGGATTGTCCAAACGTGTGGAGAGTGAGCAGCAAAACATATAGATGAGAAAAGAAAAGATTAAAAATTTGAATACTCATGGATGACTTTTTTTTTTAACATAGCAAGCACAACTACTTGAAGGAGATGAAGATGGAAACCGAATAGATGTTAAGAATAGTCAGGACAGCAGTGTAGTTGAAATGCAATTAGCAGTGTAAAGGAGGAGGAGTTGAGGTCAGGGCAGAAGGAAGTGGGAAGAGGGCAGAGTTTGCAGATTGAATGTAGCATAATAGGCTTTTTCATAGATATAGCTTTTATACTATAAGAGATAGGTAATCTTTGGAGAACTTGCTTCAAAAAAATTAGCATGATTTTACTTGATCACTTGGTCACTTGATCCTCCATTATTCATGGAATTACTCGAGTGGGTGCCAGTAGCGTCTCCATTTATCCCTGTTGCGTGCTAGCATAGCCCAGTGGCATCTGTTCATTCTAGGAACATGCAGAGCCTCAAACCAATCATTCATGGTCTTGACGAAGAAGTCTGACCATCTTGTAGGTGGGTGTCCACACGATCTTTTGACGTCCCGTGGAATCCAGTCAGTAATGGCTCTAGTCCAGCGGTTGTCTGTAAACTTCATTATGTGTCCAGCCCATCTGATTTTTGATGCCTTGGCAAATGAGACAGCGTCCCTGATTCTTGAGCATTGACATTGACGGAGATCAGAACTCCAGATTCTATCTCTCATTTGAATGAATCGTGATATTCCAAGCATAGCTCTTTCGATTCCTCTTTGAGAGACCCGAAGAGCATTCTCATCCTGTTTTTGTAGGGCCCAGGTCTCTGAGGCATATGTTAATGCATGAAGAACAGTGGAATCGAAGAGATGTGCTCGTAGCTGGAGGTTCTTTGTCCTCTTAGTTATTTCTTCAACGCTCTTGAAGGCATTCCAAGCCGCTCTCTTCCTCCTGAGCAACTCAGGTGCCAGGATATTCGTCATGTTGATTTCTCGACCTAGGTATATATAACTGTTGCATTCGGAGATGGTGGTTCCATTGAGAGCGAATAGAGCGTCAGGAACGAGGCTGTTTCTCATAAACATTGTCTTCGTAAGATTCAGCTGTAGTCCGACCTTTCCACACTCACGGTCGAAGTTATTCTACTTATGGTTAAAAAATGAATACCATTTATTGGCAAAGTTTTAGGGAGGTAAGTAAGGGTCTGAGAACAAAGCTTAGTTAATAAACAACCTAACAAGGAATGATAAAGTCCCCCACTAGGAAGTTCTTGTGGAGGCGGAAACTGATGATATTTGGGGAAGATTTGTGAAGGTTAAGTATCAAAAATATTCCTTAAGGCTCAATGTGAGTAATGAAACACAGGGAGGAAACCAGGATGATCTTTAGCTTCTTTGAAAGACATTTCTAAACGAAGAGATTTCAATTTAAAAGCCAAAGCAGTTCATATTTGTTCCAGATTTTCCATGGAAGAACCCCACTGTGCTGCATATTACTATGAATTCATTGGCAAATATAGCATAACTTTGTGGCATTCTGTGTCATAATTAATATTTTTTATTTTGCAATAGAATTTCTCATTAATTTTCAAGCACTGTACCTACCTGTCTTTATTGTCAAAGCTTTGTCAATCTTCCTTTTTGTCGGTTTGTTTGTTTGTACACCACACCTAGCCATACTCAGGGATTATTACAGGCTCTATACTCAGGAATTACTCCTGGAAGTGTTTTGGGAACCATATCATGTGCTGGGGATCGAATCCAGATGCGACATATGCAAGGCAAATGCCCTATCTGCTATACTATTTCTCCAGCCCCTGTCAATCTTCTTATGTCAAGTTCATTATTCAGATGATTCTTTTCTAGGCTCTTGCCTTTTAACTGATGTTTTATATTACTAATAAATTGAATTTCCAGTATATGACTCGTTCATTTAACAAACAATGCAAAAATGTACAACATATGTGTTCAGTTATAGTTGTCAAAAAATATAGCTGCAAACTTTGGAATCTTCTCTTTTCCTCCTGATTGAAGTCTAGATTTTATATATATAAAACCAAGTATAAAATTTTTTAAAAATCTATTTATTGTCTATTTTTTCCACTGGACTATAAGACAAACCTCTACAGGGTGGGTGTTGTGATGTACCACTGTAGCACTGTCCTCCCGTTGTTCATCAATTTGCTCGAGCAGGCACCAGTAATGTCTCCATTGTGAGACTTGTTTTTACTGTTTTTGGCATATTGAATATGCCACAGAGAGCTTGCCAGGCTCTGCCATGCAGATGGGATACTCTCAGTATCTTGCTGGGCTCTCCGAGAGGCATGGAAGAATCAAACCTGGGTTGGCCGAGTGCAAGGCAAATGCAAACCCTCTGTGCCATAATTCCCTTATAGATCCACAACTATCAATCCCTCCAGTGACCATCACCATTGAAGGTCATACTTCTTTAGGCTTTTCCTTGGGCAACTATATCAAATGACTAATTATCGTAAGTATGTCAAAGTCATCTACCTCATCCCTATTCTGATGGATTATGTAAACCCAAGACAAATTTTTAGGTTATTGACACTTCTATATGTTCATTTCCAATTTGCAGACATTGATCCAAAGGATATTCCATAATAAATAACAGGCATTTTGAACTTCATCCTGGGATTTGCTTCCTTAGGAAACTATTTTTCTTTAATTTCTTCCACTGACACTAAGAATTTTTTTGAGTTCTTGCTTCCTCTATTGTTCTCCATTCTCTAATTAGCATCTAGAGAACTATTTCCCAGTGAGCATCTTGATCATATTGTGACTCTTAGGAAAGCTTCCAAATATTACTATACCTCTTTTGGTCACTGCCTAGTTCCAGACCTCTTCTTTATTATAATTTGCTACTGTCTCTCTTTCTTTACATCTTCCAAAAATATTAATACAACATTATCAATCCTGCCACGAGTATTTGCACATTTTCCTCATTGTGAAATGTTTTTGCTTATTTTTATCTGCTATATAATTCTTAACCACTC